ATGGCACGGGTCGTGCGTTTTTTTTATCAGAATGTTATTAGCTCTTGTGTTTAGCTCTATATAGCTAATGGTACACTAACTAGCTGATGGTTCTGTTTAGGGGTGAGCATAGGCGGGTACCCGCCCTTTTTGACAGGAACCGGAACCGGAACCGGAACCGGCGGTTCTTGAGATATTGGAACCGGAACCGGTTAGAGCGGTTCTTGAATTTTTGGAACCGGAACCGCCCGGGTACCCGCTTCCTAAAATATTAAAATTTTGTTATTTAGAAATAAAAAATAAAACATTGCCAAAACACTAAATTAAATAAACAAGAATACAAATTATACGGAATAATGGTTACAAATATTGTTTAACGATTATAAACCATAATAGACTAATAGAAAATGTTCAAAGTTTAAYKATTACATACTATAATTRTAAATGTTCAAAACTTAACGATTACATACTATGAAGTGTAGTTTAGTAGAACTAGAAAGTTGATGAAGAATGAAGATGACCACATCCTTTGAAGATGTAACATAATATACATTTGGTATTAAAAAAAATTAATTATTTTTTTATTGAAAAACACTGGGTACCCGCCGGTTCCGGTTCAGGGTACCCGGTCCCGAAACCGGTCCTGGCGGGTACCCGGCGGGTAACGGTTCCGAAAAATTGAGAATCGTTTCCGTATTTTAGGAACCGGAACCGAAACCACTAATATCGGTTCAGGTTCCGGAACCGGCGGTTCCAAGGCGGTTCCGGTTCTGCAAACGTGTACCCGGTTCCGCTGCTCACCCCTAGTTCTGTTATGCTCAGCTATAAGATGGGCCTATTGGTTTACTAGTATTTAGTTAGGTGATGGATCACTAGTGTTCAGCTAGCTGATGGTTAACTCGTGTTCAACGTAGCTAAAGGTTCACGAGTATTTGATGATGTTCATCTCGCTGAAGGATTGCCATATGTGTTTAAGTATATCCCGTTGATGATTGGCCATTAATTGGTTCTTGTCTTATCTATAACCACTCACTCATAATTTCCAGCAATCATTCCCATTTAATGGAGAGTTATTCTCGACATTAATATAAGAGCGATTATGATTCTCTAAGTTTAAAAGGAAACAATTTCTGCCAAAATCATGACCGAGAATTTGTCTCGAGTGAATTTTCGTCATGTCCAAGTTCATAGAATCACCCATTTTTTTTCTTCACTAATTTTCTGAATTTCTCCCGGCATATTATACATTTAATGTTTTCATTTTACTGATAAATACTATCTTTGCAATGCTACATACACCAATGCTCGTGGATAATTGGCTCCATACCGTACATGAGATATTGGTTAACATATTTTCGACACGAAGAAATGTTCAATCATACACATTTCCAACTTAATAATGTTATTAAACATGCCTATGGTCTCTTGGAACGAAAAAAATTCAAGATGAAGTGCAATAAGGACACTATATTTACCAATGGATAAGAAGGCGAAGGAAGTGGAGGAAAAGGATCGGGGGAGTGCTATAATAAATCTAATTTGCGTGATGAAATCGCAGATAGTCTGCTTTCTAATTCTCGACCCTGGAGAGCAACGACGAGCGTGAGGAAGGCCGAAAGTAGCGACAACTGATGTGATGGCATGATAAGGGGTGTGAGAGCAACGAGAAAAGAGGGGTATGTGGCAAAAATTCTTTGAGAAAACCTAATTGTAAAAAGGGTATGTTGGAAAAGACGAAAACTGAACGAGAAGGGGTCGTTTACCAAACGCTTACTCGGGTAAGCACTTACCAAGTCATATTACCTTACTAGATGAATATGGAATGAACCAAGAATCTTACCCAATAAGAATGAATATATACTGAGTGTGTTCGTTTTTGTTCCGTTTAGTCATTGGTTACCAGGTATAACCATATGATAAAATCAGGCAGTTACTCCTTTCTTACCAAAACAAATGTTCGCATTTCTATTTTAGTTTGTCCCAAAATAAGTGCACTTTCAAAAGTAAGTGCCTATATATTTTCCAATTATGCCCTTAATTATGATATGGAAAAACTCATTACTCCCCTATATTATTAAGGGTAACATTGTCATAGCCATTTAAAAAGTGTAATAATTATACATTTTTAAACCAGTAATTCTTTCTCTTTATAGACACTTATGTTGGGACCAGATATTTTAAACTTTCCATAAATTGCTCATTGAAGTAAAACCACAAAGAAACAAGGCAGAAAGCTTGTTATAACATAAATGGTCATATTAGGATTTTTAGGCTAAACCAATAACATCGACTGATCCAATAAGAACTTGAAATAGAAAATCTAGTGGTCTTAAAAGAGACTCGAACCGATGACCTATTAAAGTAGTTCCAAGGCCTAAGCTTTTATTTGACGGTTAAGCTGGATCCTATGTTGTTAATCACACCACTATAGCGTTGGTATAGCGGTTCACAGTCCTTGAGACAGTGTGAAATCGCCTTGCTGCTAATAGCAATGCTATTTGCTGCATTTTGACAGCAGTATTTTGTTGCAACAGTTGTGCTTGATTTTTTTTTACTTTAGTTGGGCTATTTAGTGTTGGGCTCAAATTGTTGGGCTTTTGTTAGGTTTGGGTTAAGATTTTTCAAGCTTACGACTTTTGAATTCTGAAGTTGCTTAGCAATGTTTTGAAACGATGTCGATTTTGGCGTTTAAATTTAGTTTGTTTGACTTCAGAAGTCATTTGAGATTTTGATGTGTTTCAATCCCTATTGCATCTTGGTCCTATCTGTGTATAAAACGTACCTATGGAACTGATCTCTCTACTCCTTAGGGTAGATGAAAGGTCCGCTTCAATTTTATACTTTCTAGACTCTACTTTTTATGTGGGATTTACTGTCTTTTTTGGTTTACACTAATCGCTGCCCAAAATTCATCTACTACGTATAAGGTCACTGCTGTACAGACTACTATTCATTTGACTTGTTGGAAGAGAAAGTTAGGGGGTTAATAATACATGATAGCTAGATATTGTATCTCTACAACGCTAAGTTGTAACTCATGCAACTATGCATGTGTCATATGTGAATATAATAATTTAAATATTTTAGATTTAAAAATAAAGATTTCAGTTTTAATGATTGTGTATTTTTTTAATAAAGAAAATGATAAAAAAAATATCATCTTGTATCTTATGCATGAAGTAATTATTTATATCCTTGAATTTTAAAAGTATATACTAAATGATTTTTGAACAAAAATCTTTATAATATAATATAAATAAGGGGCCGTTTACTAGGTAAGCGTTTACAGGTAAAATTTAATACTATCATTTACTTATTGGGTAAGATTTTAGTCCACCAAAATGACATCGTATGCAACAATTTACCTGATAAGCGCTTACCGTGGTAAGAGTCGTCGCCCTCACTTACCGGATAAGACTCCTGGTCGTTGTCTCGCTCTTATCAGGTAAGATTCTTGGTTTTTATCATATTCATCCGATAAGGTACGTAATATGACTTGGTAAGTGCTTACCCAGGTAAGCATTTAGTAACACAAGGTTTATTTAAATGGTTTAAATTCAATATCAATTACATTTGTTATGAAATGCATCCAAAAAATCATTTATTAGTTTCTTTTCACTTTAATTAATACCAGTAAGGGGTTGTTCGTTTACCTCTTAATTGTTCCATTAAGAGGCAACCTCTAAATTCTTAAGAGGTGAATCTTGTTTGACGAAAAAAAGTATGTTTTTTAATGGTTCTAAAACCCTCTTAATGACTTTGTATCATGGGTTTCTCTTAACCATTCAACGCCCTAATTTCATTGTAAATATTTATTAAATAATTATATTTCATTTTGCACTATATCATGAGAGCCTCTTAATCATTTTGACCACTTAATCATTTTACACCAAATTATTCAACAACTGTCAAACAACCCCTAACACATATTTATAATTACTGGTATACCCAAAACCATTTAAAGGATGACATTCACAACTACCACTAATATCCAACTCTACCTAGTAAAAAATTACTATTATGCCCCTCCCAATTAAGTTTGTACATGTGGTGCACACCACATGGATACTATTAAGATGATGTAAACACATGCATATACAAAAAGGTTCTGACAAACCTAAAGTCATACACTTCTGGATAAATATTCATCATGAATGTATAGTATATTCATAATGAATATGATCATGTTATGATCATCAATCGTACATTTAAGATGAATAAAATGTTCATATTTCTGATATCAACAATGTCGGTTCCTAATCTCTTTTAGTTGTGTGTATGTATAATGGGTCCTTAAGGAAGCTTCGTGGAAGGTTCTTTTAGTTGTGTGTATATATAATGGGTCCTTAAGGAAGCTTCGTGGAAGGTTCAATTCTTATGACAAATTTTCAAGTTTAGAGTTTTGCATGAAGACAAAGATATGTTGTATGGATGGAATATATAAACAAACAAATTGAAGTCCGACCAAGACAAACGACATGGGAGGTATATATCAACTTAACCATGCCTTAATTGATCATATAATAATATTATATCTTGGGTAACGTACTTTCAAAACTTTCATTTTAGTACCTAAGATGTAAAGTTTTAAACATTTACGTACCCGGGTAACATGTTCAAACATTAACCGGTTACCATGTTGATGTGACGAGTGATGTGGTATCCAACTCAATACTATTTGCTATTCAACCCAATTTCATCACATCACTTGCCACATCAGCATGGTAACCGGTTACTTGAGTATTTAAATGTTTAAAACTTTACATCTTAGATACCAAAATTGAAGTTTTAAAAATACGTTACTCAAAATATGAATCAAGTTAAAGTACGTTATTTTTTCATGCAATTTGCTCATTTGGTTAAGAGGAATATTAAATACGTAAACTCTCGAGAAAAATATTTATTAATTAAAACAGGTAATAATTAACTATAAATTAAATTATACAAAAATGAAATCTTGTGTTTGTTCTTGATTTTATGTTTTATCCAACAAAAATAATATTCTAAACAAATTAACTTAAAATAAATATTCATACAAGTAATTAATTGGTAAGAATAACCTCGAATCTAACGATGTTATAAGGTCCACGAATGTGCACATATATGCGCCGTTAAGCTCGATAAAAAACGAGCCGTAACTCGACCCACCTGTTTAAAATAAAAATTGCTTGTGTTAGAAGAAACGACGAAATAAAATTCACATTATTGCTTGTTATTTAAGAACATTTTTGTAAGCCTATAAACCGACCGGTTTTTTCTGAATCAGGGACCGGTCCATAATTTATGAATAGGTCCCACATTTTTCATTTACTAATTTCTTGAAACTGATTATGAACGGTTAAAATGAAACTTAATTTGAGAACCAGCATGAACCAAGTCCATACGAGTCATTTAGTTAAATGGCCTTAAACGAGTTTTTAGTTAAACTAGTTGTGTACTCGCGCAATGCGGCGGGAGCTGTGAATTTTAATGATTTTGAAGTTTCGCTGGTTTTATTAGAGAAGATTTAACGATGATATAAGTTACACTTGGTCTTTACATATTAATACAATTTGAATAAATAAGAGTTATGGTTTCAATTACAGTCTATCCATGAAAAAAATTGTATGACAGTTTAAAATCCAATATATTTAAACGACACCACAAATGTGTTCGATTTACACCAAGAGCAAAGAACCAAGAGATCGAGAGCGAGAGTGAGAGTTCTAGAGCAATTGAATGAGAGAATTTTTAATAATTCATGGTGAATATCAGTTTGAATCTCACCTTGGAGGATGAGGAGAAGACATAGAAGTATGAGAGGGTGAAGGCATGAGTGAAATGTGTCAAAAGTATCTTGGGAACATGAAAAGAAAATGTAATAATATGCATTGGTAATTTGTACTATATGTTATTTTAATTGTATAGTAAGAGATTTTAAGACTGAATGCATAAAATAATAGTACTTAATGCATTATGAGTTGTTTTTAAGACTTTTAAGACTTCGTGCATAAGTGTATAGTATTATGTGCATTAAAAATTGTTTTTAAGACTTTTGATAAATCTGGTTTATAAGGTAATATAGATTCATGACCTCCTGACTATATAAGAAAAAATGGGTTTATATTCATGAGAATGTTATGGATTTAATTAAAATCCCATTTAAGGTTATATATGTAACGATTCCTCTCACCCTGATCTATCTTCTAAAGATATATCTGTATTTATGAACTTCACACTGTAAATGCTCAAGACTTGTACCAAATTAATACATTTAAAGACTCGTTCAGATATTATAAATACCCGTAATCTTCTCTGTTAATTCTTCTACAATTTCGAACCATACAAGTTAGTTAATCAAAACATGACATTACATACATATATAGGTGTTGTTTCATATATATACATATAGATGACACAACAGATGTGAAATGTTTTGTGTGTGAAAGAAACACAAAAATACACATGAAAAACACACATTAAGCGGTTGTTTGTTTACTACTTAATAGTTCCATTAAAAGACAACCCCTGAATCGTTAAGAGGTGAATCTTGTTTGGCACAAAAAAAATTATGCCTCTTAATGGTTCTAAAACCCTCTGAATGATTTTGTATCATAGATCTCCCTTAACCATTAAGAGCTCTAATTTCATTGTATACAATTACCAAACAATTATATTTCATTTTGCACTATATCATGAGAGGCTCTTAATCATTTTGCACCAAACCATTCAACAATTGTCAAACAGCCCCTAATACTCACATACAATAAAAGAAAACATGTGAAACAACATGAATTATAGCTTAAAATCAAACTAACTGGATGGTTTTCATGGATTTGATTTTCATGTATGTGTGTGTAAATGTGTGTGTGTGTATATATATATATATATATATATTTACACGTACATGCGAAGCGATTGATATTACCTTAACGTTGATTAAAGGGCGACCATAGTGAGAGTATGCAAGCTATCCTCGTCGTGGGATGCAAGAGCGATGGTGGAGCGTGTCGCTCTGATCATGCGTTCGTGAACCAAATGGAAAACTCGATTCAATCTTCTGCCACGATGTTGAGGAGAAGTGAAAATTCGGGTCAACTGAAACACCAAAAGGTTGGAATCGAATGCGATGCTTTGAACAATGTCTTTAATGGGTCTTAAACTGAGCATGAACTTGATGCAAAAGGGCCAAATTAAGGTGGCCAGCAATGGAGTAGCACTAAAACTATGAATCTTTGCTGCAGCCATTAACAAGTGCAAAGGCATTTCTTTGATTTCAATTCTGAATTTGATTTGTAGATACCAAACTAGAGAAAGAAAGGATCCAAGACTTTTGAAAGGATTTTGATGGATAGATGTTGGAATATGATATATATATATATATATATATATATATGTATGTATGTATATATGTGTGTGTGGAGGGTGGGAAGGATGAAATGCAAACCAAATTATTTGTATAAATCGTGAAAACCGTTGATTTTATTGTTTATTTTAGTGAAATTTTTTAATAAAATTGTTTGATATGATTAAATTGTTTCAAATAATTCATTTCATGATGAAAATGTTTCATATATTTTTGTTTTTATGTAAACTAAGTTGTTTCATGTATTTCTCGTTTTGATGAAATTTGTTGATTAAAATTAATAGAAATGAAGATGATAATGTTCATAATTATTTGAAATAATTTTATCATATTAAACGATTTCATTAAAAAAATTCACTAAAATAAATAATGAAATCGACAGCTTTCACGGTTTGTACAAATGGTTTGGTTTGCAAAATATATATATAGGGGACTATTCAAGGGAGAACTGAGTTGTTTGTGGTAACTGTGAGAACCAATATTAATCACAAATCAATAGATAAATTAGAAAATTTATAAATTTGGTAATTTTAAATTAAAATTTTAATGCAAGGAGATTTTTGGTACTTTAAAACTCTCTTCTCTCCTCTCTCCGGCCACCGTTCTCCGGCCTCCGGCCACCGTCCTCCGGTGATACCACTATGATACCACTGTGATATCTAAAAATATTGACTCTGTTAAACAAAAGATACATTGTGATACCTAATCATATATAAGATGCATAGTGATACCACTGTGTTACATCTTCGATCGAYCACACAAACGACATCAATGTGATACCCAAKCACATATATGATGCATTGTGATACCATTGTAGTATCACCGGAGGACGGTGGYCGGYGGACGGTGGSCGGAGGAMGGTGGCCGGAGAGAGAAGAGAGGAGGGAGGAAAGTTGTAAAATACCAAAAATATCTTTGCATTAAAATTTTAATTCAAAATTGCCAAAATTATAAATTTCCTAATTTATCTATTGATTTGTGATTAATATTGGTTCTCACAGTTACCACAAACTAATTAGTTCTCATATATATATATATATATATATATATATATATATATATATATATATATATATATAGGGGCTGATTCAAATGTTAACCAGATTTATTGTGTTAACTTTGTTAACCAATCTTTGTCATTGATTCTTATAATAAACGGTTGTGATTTATCATTTTAAAATTTTAATTTTTTAAATTTACTATTTCACAAACATATATGAACTAAGTGGAAAAATGTATTTATGTAATTTTCTTTTTTGTGTAACTCCATATCATTAATTGGGAGTTACAAAATCAAAAAAATCTCATGATTTTTGTTAATGTAAGAACCATATGAACACATCTATATATATATGAACTATTGTGTCAAATACGAACAAAAATTGACATATATATGAACTTGGACTGCATAACATTTATGAACACAATATGAACATAATAAGAATAGCTGCTACACGAAATGAAATGAAATAAATAAATAAACAGGTATGAACACAATATAAAGAGCTTGTGAACAATAGTTCCTTCATTATGAACACATTCAGGAGCGAGTCAATGTTGAGATATGCAGCTGGTGTACATATGAACACAATATGAACAGTTTGTGAACAATAGTTCTTTCATTATGAATACATTCAGTAGCGAACCAATGTTGAGATATGCAGCTAGTGTACATATGAACACAATATGAACACTTGTGAACAATAGTTCCTTCATTATGAACAATGAGTTTATCCATAATAGCTTGAACGATACCGAAAACTTTACTACTGGGTCTCCTCTACCAATCGCAAATTCAAAAAAATTATAAATAAAAAAATCAATATTATAAAAAAAAAAACAAGATCATTAATAAATTAACAAAAATCATGACATTTTTTTGATTTTGTAACTCCTAATTAATAATATGGGAGTTGCATAAAAAAGAAAATTACATATTTACCTTTGTAATTAAATTATAAGATGAATATAAACTTATATATAAGATGGATTGTCAATGGTTAAAAATGATTAATAAGTTAACATAATAAATTTAATTAACATTTGAACCAAACTTTATATATATATATATAGACTTGAGATCATGTGAGACCAATGGTTTTCGTGAGACCCGTAAGACCAATTCTCAACCATTGGATTAGATTTACAATCGTCAGATCTGAACATTTATAAACGCCATGAGACTTCTCATTAATTACGAAATTGCCATCTTGCAATTTTGCAACCATTAGATCATTAATTCATAAATTTGATCAATGAACATAAATTGGTCTTACGGGTCTCACAAAAAACCATTGATCTCACGTGAACCCAACCCTATATATATATATATATATATAGGGGCTTAATCAAATGAGAACTGAGTTGTTTGTGGTAACTGTGAGAACCAATCTCAACCACACATCTTAAATATCAATGGTTAAAATTGAAAAGAATCTTAATTAATGT